TTGGAGATCAAAATATGCCTACCCTGGTAGTCAGTCTGACACTATAAGACGTACATAATGTTAGGAGAGACTGTAAGTCCTCACAGACTAGGACTGTGGTGAATTTGTTTGGGGGATGGGTAGTGAGCAGAAAGTATGGAGAATGCTCACTCTCATCAGCTGAGACTTACACACAATGGAGGCTCATTGTTAGCCAGGTTGAGAACAGAAGCAGACCCAGAGAGACCAGTGTTTAATGTAGGCAAAGGAATCTGGCCTTTTGTTTGTTGACTTGACATTTTCCACTGTCTGTTAAACAAAATGTGTATTTCCATATTGAGAATGATCTGTAGATAGAATTGCCAGGCAGTCAAGTAGAAAACTTAAAATCTGAAGTAAGGAAAATGGGATTCATATTTGAACTTTTCCCTTAAAACATCACTAGTTGGAACAAGAAACAAAACCTCATACGTGTAGGGCCTTCCTCAATAAAATTAATAGTTTAGATTAAACATATTTTAAAAGACCCACCAGTCTAAAGTTCTCTGAATCATGAAGCAAAATAAAGCAAAGAACTAATTTAATTATAGTCTTTCAGCACAACGAGGTTGCTCTAATCAGGAAGGCTCCCCTGAAATACATTATTTTTCTCTTCTTTGGTTTGCATATATTATGTTTTCAATCAAGGCTGTATAATGCATAGTCCTGAATGCCTTCACTCAAATATATTCAAATTCCCTACAGCATTCAGTCATCTTGATTAAAATATCAACAGTTTATTTCAGATGGAGTAGTTCAAACACAATAATGCTCTGCAGGTAGCAGGTGTGCCTGAACTTTATCCAAATCTCTAACTGAAAAGGTGCAAGGGTCTTTTGTTTCTTGATGAAGCTAGATGCTTTTGCTATAAAAACAAATTATCCAACATAGTAAATTTTAAAATTCCCCCTAAATTATTTTAATGTATTAAAATCTATGTAACTGCTTATTAACCCCATCATAAATCAAGTGACTAGAAATATAAAATTAAATACATGTGTAAAAAACCGGTTAACTTTTATGTTGTAGGGCTCTTATTTTGCCCCTGAGTGTCTGTTTGTTTATTTTTCTTTCTTTTTTTTTAATCTTAAATCACTTGAGGAACAATCCACTTAAATTTAATGAGAAATACTGAAGGTAAATGAATTAAAGTCTAAAAATATAAAGTATTATCAAGAAAGGCTATGCTACTTTAAAAGTGAATTATTAAGAAATTCAGAAAAAGACATGATCCATATATCTTCATTTAGATGATCAACATTCAATATTATTCCATAGGAAGATAGAAACAAAACAGATTCTGTAGTGTTCTAATATTAGATTTCATAAACCGGCTCTCAAGTTGTAGCTCATCTTTTTACTTAAAATCTTGGACTTATTACTTAACCTATCTGAACTTTGGCTGAGTCACTCCTAAAATAAAATAGAGTAATAGAGGTCACAACTTTGCCCTGAACTGAATCTCATTTACACAGCAGTGAGTGATAACTAATAGCTCTTCTACATGGTAAAATTCACTGGTCTCAAAAATATAAATAAAATAAAACCTAGCTGTATTATAAAAAATTCTCGAGAAAATTTAACAAATTCATTACTATTATTTTTCATTCATAACTAATACTATCTTCAAAGGAAAGAAAAAAATTACCATTAACTTATCAATAAAATATTATAATTTACCCATTATGCTGATTTTAGACATAACAATTACATGTGTTTCAATTATATTCATTTAGTGAGAAGTAGTTGACATGTGACTGAAAGCAAGTAGTAACGATGAAAAGTATATACAATATGTAAAATGGCACTGCCTTTACCTAAACTTTAGCTTTATTGGGGTTTCCCTGAATTCCTTCCTTTATTACAGCAGCAGTTTAAAAAACATACATGCCCAAAGAAATATTATTTATTTTGTTTCCCTAAAAAAGAAAATTCCATGAAATATATATGGACATCAGTAAAACAGAATTCCATTCCGTTATTAGAATGGAACACTCATTATTTTTAACTGAGAAATATTGCTAATGGGGATGTGGCATGAACATAAGTTCTTCTTTACTTTGATTGAGATAACATTGGTTTACAGCACTATGTTTTTAAGATTTAGGATCACGTCACTTCCCTGAACTCAGACCACATGAATTTTGAATGAAACATACAAATTCCCATTCTGTCATTTATGGGAATGTAGCCACTGGTTATGTAACCATACGATGAGTAGATTATATCTATGAGCTTCCTTTATTCCCCCTTTACAAAAATGGAGCTTACAGTATTTAGCTCATAGCATTAAGTATTACGTGGAATAGTCTACATGCTAATGTTCAATAAATAATAGATAGTTGGTGTTCAATAAATAGTAAGTCTGTATAAATTATTGAGGTTGTGATCAATAATTCATACTACTTATTAGGATTTATTGTCATTATTTTTCATTGGTGTCATGCCTTTTACATCTGATTGCATGTATATATTCAGATTTATTTTACAAATTCTCTATAATGTTGTGTGTGCAATGCACAATAGCCATTTGTTCAGAAGGATTGTTTCCAGTAGTCCTGAGCTGTCCTGAGCCCAGCATCAGGCTCAGGAAGACTATCACTGATATTCTGAAGTCCCTGAATGCTGTAGTCCCTTTTCTGAAGATCCAAGAGGAACAAGTGAAGACTGAAACCTTAATACCACTGCTGAAAATTTTATGATCTGCTGAAATAGGACAAATGCAAAATAACAGCCAACAAGTAGAAGAATGTCTGGAGCTTGAGGTACCTAAAAAAGGAATAGTCAGGGTCTCCCCTGGTGGCACAACAGGTTAAAGCACCTCTTTCTGAAGCTTTCTGAAGCCACTGCAGCACGGGTTCCATGCCCCACCAAGGAACTGACCTACATGGCGTGACAGACATCTCCTGACTCACCCACTGCTTCCCTCAGCAGTGTATTTCTGCCTGTTCTGCTCCCCACTCTGTCTCTGGGGAATCCTCTCACCCACCACACCTCTGGCTCATATGCCAGTTCTGTAAGCATAAATAAATAAAATCTTAAAAAAAGGAATAATCATGGTGGGCCAAGTGGTGAAGGAAAGTTTTAAGAAAAGAGTGAATCTATCAGACTGTGTTGCACTTGGTATGATGAAAAAGCAAACAAGCAGGCATTCCTGACAACAGGCAGAGAGACACATCCAGAAGCTGTCCATGCATAAAAGAGACCACCTTAAAAGACAAGAAGAAAAGAAATAATAAAAGGCAGAACCCCTGCTCCTATTGAGTTTGCCATCTGGCTCAGACACTTTGGATCTCATGAATATGGTAAAATCCAGCATGGTAAATACCACACAGAAGATGCCTAGGCAGTACTTTGTTATGATGATCACAACTACATATGATATTAATGACCACAAAATGAAATGATTGTGCTAAGATGCATGGATATATGGATATATATACACACACACACACACACACACACACACACACACACATATATATATATATATATATAGAGAGAGAGAGAGAGAGAGAGAGAGAGATGGATATATGGATATATGGAGATATATATATATATATATAATCATATGTTATATAAAGCATTCCTTTTCACAACAAATGTCACTATGTAAAAACAGAAATATACTCTCAAAGTAAGTGGGCTTTATTTTTTCAGCATAGTAGGAAGACAGATCTTTAAAGTTACCGTTAAATTTCCATAGGAATCTATAGAAGGAACCACAGGACTTCAAAATTAGATCTCAACATGAATTAGTTTTGTTTTGTAATAATAAAGTTTGATACTATAAGAGAGGTGAAATGCAGACATGAGTGAAGCAAATAATAAAAGCAAAGTCTACAGAGCAGTACAAGATTCCTCACACAATAAACAATATAACTAAGTATAACATTCAATAGCATATTAGCATGCTACTTCCCACAATCCATTACTGTAAGTTTCCATAACTAATTATAAGAAGAAATCACTGCAATATTTTCTGTATATAGTATATTAGACAGGCTTTCCTGCATTATTCTAGAAGAGTCTCAAGTTATAAAGTTAACTTAGGTTTCAATAAAACACAGACTATACTACTATCAGCAATTCAGACATATGAACCCTTTGGTATTCTCCTCAGGCATTTTCTATCAGTTCCAGAGTACTTCACCAAAGCTCATGTGTGATAAAACAGCAACTGCCCCTGGAGCATAATTTTAAAATAAGTTTTCTGGGAATTCTGGGAATTCTAGCTTGATTTTTGAAATGAACACACACACACACACACACACACACAGATCTTTTTGACTGCTGTTTAAACTTGCTGAAGAGTAAAGGTGTATGAACTAAGTCTCATTAATATTAATACATGCTTGGTTATTTTGTTCCCCGAACACTGTCACTTTGTTATACTAAATTAAAGCCCTGACAGAAACATCCAATTAATCCTCAGTAAGAAAATGCATTACTGTGTCACAGTTAATAAGTGGTTCAATGCAATCAGACCTTGATCATTTTCCTGAGCAGTTGGGTCCTGTGCATGCTATGCTTGGAACCAGGATGTCTAACATTAGCTCCCTTAATGATTACACATAGGTGAGTTAAAATGGACAGTCATTCTCTTTTCAGATGTTCAAGCAAACTTTTTTTTTTATTATTTTTACTGGGGATGATAAGAGCTAAACAGAAGAAAAACTTATGCGTCTTAAATTGTTATCATAAAAGTGATTCTAGGATTTAGTCTGAGCCATGGGGTATGATCTCAAGCTCAACATTGGTCATCAGCACACTTTACCCACTCCACAAAGCATTCAAACCACAAGGCGCAACTACCTGGAATGAAAGAACACTTCTGGATATGTCAGTATAAGATGTCAATATTTAGGCACATTTCTCCTGTAGCATCAGCAATTCAAGGTCCCTTCCTTGCTAATATCCTGTGTCTCTTGACCATATGCTGCCTGCAGGAAACATAGAGTCATCACAGGTGAAGATCCTACCTTAATGAGCACTTGAATGGACCCAGTGGATTTTGCAGACATGAAATACCAGAAGCTCATGGTACAAGCAGTGTTGGATTCTTGCCACACAGCACTCTTGAGATGTGCTTCTTCACCCCGAAGGCCCACCGGAGTAGCCTCCAAATACAAGAAGTGTCCTGGAAACATGGACAGGATTCAAATGGAATAGAGCAAGGACAGAAGTCAAACAGAAATAACAATGAGAGAATTAGTTCAGCTTTTCCATCTTAAGAATTTTTAATTACATTTCATATGATCTGAGCTGCCAAAGGCATTTCCATTTGAAACAGAAAGGAAATCTAATAGCCTTGCTTCTCACTTACTGACAGAACAATTTCCAACTGTGTGCTAAAAGCAAAGTATTTCACAGTATGCAGATTAACTGATCTGATGAGATATTTATGCAACTAAATCAATATAGTTACAGAAATCATTTACTGGACCTTCAAAGTTCCCAGTTGTTGTAAAACAATGCAAAGATTACCTATGCAATCTAGTCAAGGAATATGATGAGCTTTCAAAAATGCAGTCATCTATTGGGTGTGTAGATAAAATACTAATCATTTTAATAAGCAACATAAGACAATAATAAACTTTATAGTAAGGATTCAAATATCCACAACATTTTATATGGGAATAGTTGAGTGTTTTGGACATAGATCTTTCATTCTTTGGTTAGTCTGAGTTGGAGAGCTTTGTTGTGTTTTGTTTTGTTTTGTTTTTTTCCATAGTCATGTGGGATATTAATATTGAGACATCTTTATCCTATCCTATAGCATCCAGGAAATCTTTATTTGTTGACCAATGAGTCTTAAACTTGACTTCATCTATCTAATGCAAATATAAACCATGCCCAACACTTTTCATATCTGTGATATACAGGTAGAAGAGCAACGCACTCGCCAGGTTTCAAGTCCTTTCCCTTCATACACACCATTTCATTTGAATTAAACAACACCCATTTGGTATACAGGGAAAATTTTATCATCTCAATTTTACAAATGATACATTTGAGAATCTAAAATGTTAAGTGACTTGCTAATTATCAAATGAATGACATCATTCAGGTGTCATTTATATGATTACACATTTTTGTCTTTTAAGAAAGTTACTTGATGGAAGTACACATTATCATCTACTTATAATCATGAAATATTAGATTTTTACTACTCCATGTTATAGGTTAAATTGTGCCCCCCCCCAAAAAAAAAATAAAGTTATTGAAATCCTAATCCCAGTTCCTTAATGTGCCTTTTTTGGAAATAGGATCTTGGCAGTTAACAAGTTAAGATGTAATCATTAGGTGGACCCTGATCCAATAAGACTCCATCCTAATAAGAAGGGAAAATTTGGACACAGATACAGACTTGATAGAGAACGCACAACGTGAACACATGGGGAGAATACCATCTTTAAACTTCGAGATGCCTGAGGCCATCAGGAGGTAGGAAAGATGCCTGAAACAGATGATGCTCCTTCACAGACTTTAAAAGGAATCAGCCCTACCAACACCCTGATTTCAGACATCCAGCCTCCAAAACCGTGAGACCATAAGTGCCCACTGGTTAAGCCACTCAAGCTGCAGCACTTTGTTATGGCAGTTCTAGGAGAGAGACCGACTCATTAAATGTTTGATTGATTTCGGAGGCCCAATGATGGTCTTGCTATAGTTCTCTGGCAGGTGTCCGCGAGACAATGTGATGTCCATTGTGGATATGATTAGAGCAACAGTAACAACCTAACAACCTACCATTTGCATTTCCAAGTGTGTGGTCTTCAGGAGGTCTTAGGCTTTGATGAGCACCAACCCCCAAAGCCCAATCAAAGTTTTCAGCCAGGGAGTTTTGCCAGCCACACCAGCCTTTTTCAAAAGTACAGGAGCTGCCACATTCACTTTCATCAGTATAATCTCCACAGTCATCTACAAAATTACAGCTTTGCTCTGGTCTGTAGCATTTGCCATTTTTACATTCCTGATAGCCCTGTGGGCAATAGCCTAAAAAACAGAACAAAGAAAGGATGAGGTGACACTACTAACACTTTCTGTAAGAGAAAATTCACATTAACATATATAGAAATAGAAGGAACATAGTAGTCATAGATGTTTGAGGGATCTGACATCTCACTGCCCTAATTTCCTTAGGATAAGGATTTCTATAGATCTCTAATAAGAATAGTTCATAAATGAAGAAAAAAGCAAAGCCTTATTTTATTGATTTAGTAAAGGATCCCAAGTCTCCTCAAGTCCATTATTTCTTGTTAGCTATGTTCAAGGATATAAATTAGATCTTAAAGGAGGGCTTTCTATTTTTTTTTTTATCCTGAAATAAAATCTTCCAGATACTAAGGGCTTACAAAGGGACATTTGGAAATGCATTCCATTGGCATCCTTACACTCCAAAATTTGTCAGAAGTGAAACATACACAAGCTATTTCCTTAGAAATAAGACAAGTATAAGTAATAATTAACTTTCCAACAAATTTTTATTGAGAAAGCTTATTTATTTGTGAGTTTTTTGGAATTTAGAAGCAATTTCCCTACAAAGCAAAGTCAACCACAAAGATTTATTCACGAAGAACTTAAGACAAAGAACAATGTTTTTGAAAACCTGAATTGAACTCATACTTAGACTTAATACTTAAGTGATTTGGATCACTTTGCAATGAAAAGGGGAAAAAGTGGGAGCTAAACTTGGAGAACTTGAGCAAATTAAAGGACTATTACTTATAGAGCCAGTGTCATAACAATGCCTGTCCCAAGCAGGTGATCAGTAAATTTTAGTCAAATAAATAAATGAAAGAAACTGCTTTGAAAATGATAAACTAGTTCAAGGTACTACTATCCTGATTAATATTCAGATAGAAAATAACCACCTTGTTTTAACTATATCTCATTAAGAAGTTGTTCAGAGATTCAACTTGCAATATCAGTTTTACACTTGTTCTCTGATACAAGAGTATCAGAAATTTTCTTCCTTCTCATTTTTCCCACCTACCAGGTAGAACTGATAGGATCACCCCCTCTTCACTTCTAGATGAAGCTTCCAATGGTCTGGAGCAAGTGATCTGGGGGGTGAAGGTTGGTGTGAATTAAAGGTAGAAAGTGATATGTCAGGGAATTATAGAACAGTGTTCAGGTAATGGGGAACACTTATTTGTAAGACTTCAAGTAGAAGATTTATGTTTTGGATCAGTATCACATTGTAGAAAATAGGGGCTGGGAAGGGAGAAATGAGAAGAGATGAATGGATGGTCACTTCTCATTTTGTGTGCTGAAAATGAGCTGTTCCTGGACAGCTCATTCAAGACTGCCTAATTAAATGGACTTTCCACTTGCAAAATCTTTGAAAATAAGTTTTAACCATGTATTCTGCCTCTAACGAAACATGTTTGTTTGGTTAATTGCTAACATTTATCTGTCTTGCAGTGTGGATCAAACTATTTTAATTTAGGTGGCCAGTAGTTTTAGTAGATTGGGGTAAGAAAAAAGACCTTTAATGTTTCAATTACAGAGTTAGAATCACAACATTAAAGTATTTTTTAGCTACACAGAAATGGAGATCACTTTCATTAACCCCTCTCATTTATAGATGAGAATACTGAAGATTATAGATGTTAAATGACTTGCTGTGTTTTCAAAAACTGAGGGGAAATTTGGACTTGCATCCTTTTAAAAGTAAAATTAAAATGACTTGAAAAGAAAAGCAATGATATCAGGTCAACTATTATAATACATAAGACTACTGAAGAACAAAAGGTATTTTGACTAATAGGTGTGTTTTTCTCATAGGCCTTTTGAGAACATAACAAATTACTACATCATTTAAATTTATACAAGTTGGCATTTGTATTGATTCTGTCAATTCCAATTTGAGAAGCAAAAAAAAAAAAAACTTGTTCTCAAAATGCTTTTTCCAAAGAAACTGTATCAAGCTAAAATCTAATTCGTATACAACAAACAATAAAACAATTTGGATATATTTCTAAATAAAAACATCTATAGACCCCAATATATTGCATGATCAATATCAGCAACAGTTTAGAATAATAAATATGATGGTTTTACTTTTAAAAAACATAAATAGTTCCATAATTAGATATATAAAGCAAATATTCAACAGTATTAATTTTTAAGAGAAAGTAGTAATAAAGTTCACTGCCAAATGTATTGCACCCATAAAAAAAAAAATACAGCAATGACATATTTTTGATAAATGTCAAGGGAATTTTTCAACCAACATCATTTATCTATTTCCAAATTATTGTTATGCCTGTTGTTTCCTCCAAAGAAACTAGTTTTCTGAATAAATTTTTCTAAATAACTCATACAGATGGAAAAAATGTTCAAGATCAATTATCTGGAAGGAAATCAAAACCACAATGAGATACCATCTCACTCCCATGGAATAATGAACCATAGCAAAAACAAACCAGAAACAATAAATGTTGGCAAGGGTGTGGGGGAAAAAGGAACCTTAATGCTCTGTTGAAAAACCACAAAAATTGCTAAAAGAAAGACCCTAAATAAATTGAGATATATAACAAGTTTATGCATAATTCTTGCTAAATTTACATGTAATTCAACATAACTCCAATCAAAATGTCAAAAGGACTTTGCAGAAATTAACAAAATGATTCTCAAATGTACTATGGCCACACTGATGACCTGATGAGGATATGTAGTTCAGAAATGGACTCATAGACATATGCTCACCTGATTTTCTAATGTGTGACAAATTAGTGTGAAGGATTTTCAACAAAAAAGCATAAACTAAATTATATTATTGAAGAGCAATAAATAAAAAACTGGAAAAATAATCTACAAAGTATAAGGCCTATACTTTTCAAAGATGACAACATCAAAAGATAAAGGCTGAAATAAGAGAAAGCTAAAAATAAATAAATAAACAAGCAAGCAAATAAATAAATAAATACTAATGCAGTGCATGATTCTGAGCTGAATCCAAACCATGTATAAAGCAAAACCTGCATAAAGGATATTGCGGAGAGAGAGGCACAATTTGAACAAATTGGAATGATTACTTATAGATGGAGAATAAACAAAGGAAACCCCAGGGCAGTTCAGTAAGTAATGATTCATTAGAAGGTTAAAGCTTTAGTGAGGCTAGTTTGGGAAGAGTCCGTGGAAGTTGTATCTTCTCAGATGGGGTACTATCAGGTATATAAATTAGGTAATAATACTATATATGGGTTAAATTTAACTATACATTCTGCTTTAGAAAACAGAATACTGGCCCTCCCTGGTGGCGCAGCGGGTTAAAGCACTGCACTAAGAAGCTAAAGACACTTCCGCATGAGTTCAATTCCCGCCTGCCCCGGAGGAGACCACATGGCGAGGCAGACCTCTCCTGAACCGCCCGCTGCTCCCCTCAGCGGTGTACTTCGTGGATCTGCCTGTTCTGCACCCCACTCTGTCTCTGGTGAAGCTTCTCGCCGCCCCTGAGCCTCTGGCTTGTACCCCAATTCTGTATGCACAAATAAATATATCACACTAAAATGCTTCAGAAAAAGTAAGATTTTATATAAAACAAATGAGCAAACTGATAATAATTTGAGAATCTGTATGCCTAAATTCCTGGCATAGTTCTTGTAATATTTCTATGAACAGTAAACTAATTTTGTTTAAGTTGAAAAGTCATTTTTCAGTTATTAAGAATTCCCTCCACTGGCATCCTTTGCACTCAGAAAAAAAGCCAACGTCTTTCAAGTGTCCCCACAGACACTATAATCTTCCCCTATTTTCTCTCTCTTATTATTGACCTCTAGTCAAAGATGACTGGGAACACACCTGTAGTTGAAAAATTGGAACTAGAACTAGAGAATAAACAGCAAGGGGAACCCTGAGGCAGTTGAATAAGATGGTATTAGAAATGACTTACAGTAGGATTACAGCTTCAGTTAGCCTATTTTGGGCAGAGTCCAAGGGAGTTGTGTTTTTCTCAAGAAAACTCTCAGGAACCAGAGATAAATCTATAATTGGGTATCTTTATAAATTTAATTAATATAAGGGAAGATTAGAATAGACTAACACTTTAAATGGTTAGAGACAGTTTTGAGTTATATGAGTCATGAGTTAGCTCAGTCATTTGAGACAATGTGTCTTGTCTGTGTTTAAGCTCAGTGACAAACTGATCTTGTTTTTGCCTTGCACCATCATCATCCCAGAATGGCTTTGTCTGATGTGGATGCCACAAACCTGTTTTTCAACTATCAACGACAGCATCTCTAAGACCTAAATGAAAGCACCAGGTCAGGTTCTTATGTCAAGGGTTGCTTCTCATTTTTCACTTTCAATTCTATTTATACGGCAGGATGGTTCAGTGGGGCAGGTGATATAAGGTTAGAAAATAAAACCCTTTGGTTGTTTTCTTTGCAGAAAATAAAAAATGGCAGATGAATTGCTTTGGGACACATTAGAAGATATCTGAAAGACCTGAATTACATAAATGTATATACATATTACGTAATATGTATATATTAATCCTTTTCACATTGCTCTTTTAAATTTGCAGTAAAAACTTGAAAACTTAATGTGCTGTGTGAACGGCTTTAATGCTAGCATAGAAGTATGGAAAGAAATTCCACAAAATAGATGACAGGTGTTAAAATATTGGCAAAAAAAAGCTAGATGAATTATGTTTTACACTAAGGAAAACATGGAAGGAAGCCTAGTAAGAAAAGAAACCTCCAGGCTTTACAAAGAAGAGCATAATGTGGTTCCCCACTGGCTTGAGTTTACAATATGGCTGAAGCTGTAATTCAGGAAACAGCAGGTTTCTGAGTCAATGTTTCTTGGGCAATGCTACTAGCCTGAGGCTTGGGCTTAGCCTTCAACTGGGAACAAATTGCAAACTGGTCCAAATACTTTCCTCCAGCCTCCATGTTCTTCATTCCAAACAGTATCAATACAAATGTGCAAAGAATACACTCTACAGTCCTGACAGATTTGTTCCAGATGGATGATTTAGGCCTCAA